ACCAGACTGGCTGCTAAAAGAGAATTATTTTTCATTATTTCCCTTTCATTAATGATTGAACAAAAAAAATCATATTTTATTTATTTTGATATCTCGTAGCTAATGCCCTTTTTAATACGATAAAACTAACTGCTTGATTTATGTACAAAACAATAAACGAAAAACAAATATGATATAACAGCAACAAATGACAACCACTGAATAATAGTCTCCTGATTTGGAAATGGTAAATGCAGAATATGGCTGGGTTAAACATGTTAAACACCTCTACCTAGCCTGTGACAGTGTCTGAATAACACAACATGAGAAAAAACTATAAAAATCAGTTGGAAAAGGGCTTTACTCACATGATCCACTCAAAGCAAACAAAAAAAATATTCCAACAACAACTAACAAAAAAGGTAAAATTTTGCATACAACTCTGGCTCGATGAACTACAATTGAAAATCGAAAAAATAATGCATTTATAAATCTCTTTTATCATCTGAAATATTACTGATTGAATTCTTTCAAAATGGGTAAACATTTGTATAGAAAGCTCATAAAATCGACGAAAAACCTTCTTAAATTTGTCTTAAAATCATCAAATCTCTAATTTCTAATATATAGATTTTTCATAAAAAACTATATGTTGTTGATACATAAATTTCCGTTTTAATGATGTAAAATAAAGATAGGGTCACCGACTTCGTTTTTACGATATTCATCATTCAAAGTGGTGTTCAATGTGAAAAAAATACCACAAAACGTCGAAATAATCGTAACGTCATCGCGTTATGGCCGTAAAACGTTAATTTTTGACGTTTTTCACTATCAACTAGTTAACAAATTAATTGATTGTTAGACAAAAAACGAAGTCGGTGACCATATGATTATTAATGTTAATTGGTTCGGCGTATTAGACGTCATAAACACTCAGAGAGAGAAAAAAAAAAAAAACGATCGTGTGCAATGCCAAAATATAAGTATCAGCAGAATGTACAGGACCGTTTTTAATCTATTGATAACAAACTCAATATGTGTACCATTAATTGCATTAAATAAGTTTACACGGATCGTATCTAATCTGACACTGAGGATCTCATGATAAACAACTCCACCGAAAAAAATTAGGATATGATGTCCGGCTTGCTATAAGTTATCCGCAGGAACAGCCAAACTTCCAAATCATTTTTCTTTGTACTTTACTGAGTATGGCCATAAACTGTGCCGGATTCATGACAATACTGGAATAAATATGCTATTAAAGGGGAGCAATGTTTCCCGCAGGAATACCTATATATACAACTTGTCGATAAACTTTATTGCCGAAACGCACATAGATGTTATCAAGGAGAACATGTACAGTTTAATTATCATCATACTTCCAGTAAGTATATCTAGCCAGAGACATATAACATATTTATGTTTTCAAAGCCCAGATGCTTTATACGAGTTGTATCAAATAAATCGCACCATGCCAGCCAGATTTTTCAGACGACCGTTTAATCAAATAAGAAAACTTATGTTTGACGAGATGGTTTGAAAGTGTAGTGTAGAGAGTCGAAAAGTCAAAACTGTGACCCGAATTAAAAGGACCATTGATATGCAGCATGTAATTTATCTGAAAATGATCCACTGATTTGAAAGAATGTCTACCACTCCAAAAACTGTCCATTATTAGAAGTATAATCGACCTATCTAACACAATTCATCATAAAACGAATAATGTGTCAGCTTTAGTCCCGTGTTGAATGCCTTACTGTGACTTTCAGATGGAGAACAGCAATAAAAGAATAAATTCAACGTTTCTTTGCTTTTTAAAATAACAATTTCAATTTGATTTTGGGTATTTTTGTGGAAGACATCTCATTTTTTACAGCAACACATCTTTTTGATTACACGATTACATGAGAATATGTAGACGTGAGGCCCCATATTAGAAACTAGTAGTTTCTAATATGGGGCCTCACAGTTCTATTTTTTAACATCCGGATTATTCATTGTCTGTCCGGGATTTTATGCCTTTCGGAATAGTTTTCGGAACTCCTTTGTATTCATCATATTACCTGAAAGAAAAATGGCAGGAATAAGAGGTTCGAAACAAAATCCTTCTGTTTCTTTTAAATAGATACTTCCTCGTTAAAACATTGACAAATTTAAAAGACGAACATAATGAAATAAGAGTTTATATAATTTATTTTAGTATCTTAAGAACCAGCGGTTCAGACGGCTATGACAATGAGTCATTTTCTTTCGCAGTCTTAGTACATAGACCAATATTAAATGAATGATATAATAAATACCTTTTATCAGACGCCTGGTATTATTTGTCTAAGGTTTTATTTGAAGTAAGCATGGTTTGAAACAAAACTACATAACATTAGCTTTACTCAACTCTTGGCCAAAATAAACACAAATGTATTGTAAAGTATACACAAAGATGATGTTTACTGTTCATCGAAACAGGTTGGGAACAACCAAATCCAGGTACATTTCAGGGTTTCTGCTGGTGGTCGCCATTTTCATAATTTGCGAAAAAATAAAAATTTTGGCGAAAGAAGTTTAACGGTTCGACTTCATACATCATGTTTACTTTTGTGGGGTTTCTCTGACTTTTTCCCTGATCAGAAAATACTGGGAATTCTCCTTGAACTCGTTTCAATTTTGATAGAAAATCAATAATCAGCTGATTGCATTTGACATGTTTGACAGCTATCAGCAACAATGGATTATAATTATTAAAGGTGTTGATTGTATTGTTTAATGAAATGGTTAATGGCATCACATGTCACTTAGAGGATTTGTTTTTAACTTTGATGGAAATAATTGTTTTAGTGACGCATAGTTTTACGTCTCCCCGTTTTCTTTTAATGATGATCTGGAAAGAAAACTTGTTATGACTAAAAAATTTCAAAAGTAAAAAAAATCTCTGACTTTTTTATTTATCCTATAATTTTCATAGACATAATAGTTTTGAAGTGGATAATTTGCAATCGCTTTAGCGACGCACGTGTTTGAGGCATAGTTTTAAGTCCAAACTTTTTCTTTTAACGATGGTCCGGTAAAGAAAACTATTGTTAAGAAGAAAAAAATTCAAAAGTAAGAAAAATCTCTGACTTTAGTCTTTATCCTTTAACTAGACAGGAAGTATCCGATAAACTTATTGTTCATGAATCCCATGTTCTGCGGCAGAAGTAAAAAATAGTGGTTTCATGATCTATATTGCAAAGTTAGTTTCTTTTAAAAATTAAATGTTTGTTATTATTGAGTGTTTATTCATTACAATGTAGATTAAAAGAAAATTATTAAGAATTATAATAGATAACAATGTGACAAACTGATTTTTTTTTTTGCTAGAAAGAAGGAAAGTTTTAAACGAAAAATATGTTTATGTTAGATGGCGAAAAATATAATGTTTTTGCGAAAGAGGTGGCGAAAAAGAAAATTGACCCAGGGGAAACCCTGTACGTTTGCCCACATACCTGTTAGACCTGGGTTCCATATTCACATTTGCCTGAGTCAGTTATCCCATATTGTTTAGTACAAAATGTATGTTATGTCATGTATATTGTGTTGTATAGTCCATGGTATGAATATTTTAAGTGTTGTAATTACAAATTTTGAAAAGGTTTATGGCAAGGACTATAATAGTACAATACCTATGTTACGCTAAAATTGAAATCATGTTTGGCGGGGACATCATAAACTGTCCTTTTGTCTTTTTCATTTTTTGTGGATACAAAATCAACAGCTATGCTTGTGTAAAAGTCAAGTAATATTAGAATAAGGAGATGTGGTATGATTGCCAATATGACAACTATCCACCAAAGTTCTAATGAAGTGGATGTAAGCAATTAAAGGCAACAGTTTGGCCTTCAACAATAAGAAAATCCCATACTGTATAGTCGGCTATAAAAGGCCAGAAATGACAAATGTGAAAGAATTCAACTGAGTAAACTATGGCTTACTTTTTATAACAAAACAATTAATGAAAATCAAGTATGACGTGAACCAACGAAAACCACTGAACTATATTGAAAGCTAGATCAAAGCTAATAAATTAATCATGTTTTCCCAAACTAAAGTATCAATCATTACACATCCAACAGATTGAGTGTAAAGACGTCATAAACACTTTGAGAAACGCAGGATCTTGTGCAATGCCAAAATATAAGTAAACAGTATTGACAGGATGTAGGATGATATACATGATATATAGCATGTATAGCAATATATGTTTAGTTATGTTTTAATTTTTCAAAAACAAAATCAATATTAATACCAATAAAAACAATATTTGAAGATTTTTCTACTGTGTTAAATTGATAGACTTTAAGAATAAGTTTATTCAAAGGATCATTTTGTTTACATGGATTGTATCTTAATTTACGGACTGTGTATTTTTTCATCTGAATACATTTTTTGGGATTAACTATGGCATGACATGGACTTCATCACATCCCCACTTCTCCTCCTCAACCTTTATTTAGAATTAAATGAAACTTTATCAGAATCTTCACCATATAATGCCATTGTATAAATTTTGATTTTTTAAACAAATATTTATTTGGGTTTCCCTAAGCAAATCATAGACCTTGCCATTGCATTACATGGTGACAGGGGAATCATTTTGGGAGTTTAGCTCGAGTATCTTGGACTAGCTTTATTCTAGGAAGAAAACATGTCATTGTGACATTATATACATTTAACTGATATAGAATTTTAAGGAAATTTATCAGTTTAATATTATTAGTATATAACTTGTGAAAATGCATACTAGTACGATCTTGTGTTTTGCTTATAAACTTTGATTTGACTTGCACAAGTTTAATTTATTCTATAAAATCAACCATAAAGCATCACTTTGAGAGAAATAGTATATTTTTTTAATAATTTGTTTGCCATTTTAGGACAAAAATCATTATCTTATATGCAAAAAAATAATTTCATACTAAGTCATGGAATATACAAAATATATAAAGTTTATTGATGATATAAATCCTACATATTGATATATTCTTTTTCATGTTCTTTCCTTTCTTTTGCTGTTGATGGAACTAATTGTAGCGTAAGTATTTATAATATACATTAAACTTAAGTGTTCTATTATAAGCATTATCAGTATTTGTTAAAGTGTTTATATCAAATTTGACTACAGCTTTGTAGAGAGGAGATTTAATGGTAAATACTGATCATGCTCATGAAACATATCCTTGTTGACAGTGTGTATGTTACCAAAAAGATTATTTGTACATCTACAAGATAACTTGAGTTAATTTATGTAGGTTATTAAAGTAAAATTAAATTAGAATAGATTGAGTGATGATGATATGTATAGTTTTTCACAAACATCAACAGCCTATGACTGGAAACTAAAAAATGTCAAAGTTAAATTTCATTTAATCGTACAATCTCTTATGTCTTTTTACAGATTGATTGCTATGGCTTTTGCTGCAGCAGTTGGTGTGACATTCTTAGTACTTGGATGTGCTTTATATGAGTAAGTAGATGATGTAGTCTATTCTGTTTATTCTTGATTACTATAGAAAACCTTCTAATTGAAACTTAATTTGTCATGTTTGTATGATTAAATAATTTATGATAGCCCTTTGTTTATGGGAAATATTACATTGGGTAGACCATATTTTTGTGAAAATTTTGTCCTGGATGGAATGCAGTGAAGTTAGGGGTACATTTTGGAAAGTATAGACCCAACCCTTGCTAAAATTTGAGATAAACAGTGTAATGCTTTAAATTATTTCTATTTTAGTAGGAAAATGTATGCATAATTCCCCAGAATTTATCTTACATTGAACAACACCATTAACTATTCATTTTACAACAGTATTGTTCTGTCTTTATTCTACATGATTTACTGAACATACAAATGTATCATGCACATGACAAAACAAGTAGACTGGATGTCATAATAGAATGTAGAATAAATTCAGTGTTCTAGCTAAGGAATTTTGAAGGCGAGCCCAGGGACTCGGATCATTTTTGGCCAGGTGAGTCCAAAAGTGAGAAGATGAAATTTTTTTGCTATATTATTAATATTTCAGTTCCAATGACAAAATAGAGCAAGGAAATGACATCAGGTTTTGATGAATTTGAAATTTTTGTCATAAAATGATAATATTTGTGCTCAGTTGGTACATTTTATAATCTTGATGCATCTTTGGACTCATCTCTTTTGAAAATGACAGATTTTCATGAGTCCAGGGCTCATGGAATCGCCTTAGTGAGAACCCTGTTTGAAATTGCTGGGACAGTATTGTAAAAACAACAAATTTTGGAAATAATAATATATTGGAATGATAATCATATTGATGGGGTTTAAAGTATTCATCTTAATAATATTACACAAAGAATTGATTGATAACTCTCAATACTTGTGTATTCTAAATCAATCATCTTAAATCTTCTCTGTTCATTGTGGCAGTCTGTAAATTGACAATAAACTGTGAAGAATTGTTGAATAGTTTTTTAATCAAAGCTTAATAATGTTTCATTGAACATACGGGTCATAGAAACAAATCTATTTTTAGAACAATTGGTTCTATATTTATATCCCAGGTAAAGGAAACGTTGGTACGCAAAAAACTAAAACAAAATGTGTTTATAAACTTTATTGGTAGAATTGAAAGACAATAACATATATGACATCAGTTAAATAACTTTTATTAGAATAAATCATCATTCAACACGATGCAAGTGGATCACTGCTCTTCGTCTTTTTTCAGGGATTTCCTTTACTGATTTTTACTATCGATGTTAATTGACGCCGTAATTTGGCATTTCAGATAAAAGCATACTCTGCTTAATTGCATAATTTTGTCTGACAAATAGGCTATGCAAATAACCAGAATCGATTGTATTAATTTTCTATATATTTCAGTAACTGGTGGCCAATGTTTGTGTTAATTTTCTACTTCCTGTCACCACTACCTACAGTAATATCTAAACGTATGTCTGATAGTCTGGACACAGCAAGTAGTGCCTGTGTAGAACTTGCAATATTCATAACTACAGGCATTGTAATATCAGCTATTGGACTTCCCGTTGTATTGGCACATGTAAATACTGTGAGTAAAATTATATAAACATATTATTTCATTGCCTACTTATATAATGAATTTGCTGGAACGAATGTTTACTATAAACTGTTAGCAAACGTATTGCATTTAAACAAGATAGTAAAGGATTTCTTTTTTATTAGAATAAGACTTTTTAAAGCCAAAAGTATACAGTACACTAACATAAAATTAAAAATAAATGGGGAATGTATCCATGGGAGACAGATGATACCCCTGGGGGCTTGCATATAAAGTTATAAAGGGACATAACTCAAGAACGGTAAAAGTGACAGTACCAAAATTCGTATTTGATCTGAGTTTTGTGGTAATAAACATTGTGTATAAGTTTCATAACATTTGGTTGAGGCAAACTAAAGTTAGAGAACGGAAACAAAAAATTCAGCAATATTTCCATTTGTAAAGGGGCATAACTCTAGAACAGTAAAAGTGACACCACCAAAATTCAAACTTGATCTGTGTTTGGTGGTAATAAGCATTGTGTATGAGATTCATAACATTTGGTTGAGGCAGACTAAAGTTAGAGAACGGAAACGAAAATTCAGCAATTTTTCCATTTGTAAAGGGACATAACTTTAGAAAGAAAAAAAGTGACACACCCAAATTTAAACTTGGTCTGTGTTTTGTGGTATTAAGCATTGTGGATAAGTTTCATAACATTTGGTTGAGGCAAACTAAAGTTAGAGAATGGAAACCAATTTCGGGACGTACAAAGGTAAAGCTTAATGCCCCCTCCGCTACGGTGAGGGCATAAAAACTAGACATACACTATAAAATAACCAAATTACTGTGCTTATGCAAAAGGATCTTCAAGCACTCAAGTATAAAAATTTCAATTTTTTTATAAACCTTTGTTGCAATGGTTATATATATGGCTGTGTTATAAAAAGATTGATTTGAATAAAAGAGATATGTCAATGAGAAATGAAACTCTATTACACAAAAACATCTAGAGGTCAACATATGGTTTTTGTCTCACCTTGACGGAGTCAAAAAGCGAGACATAGGTATGCTGTTTCCGGCGTCGGCCGCGGTGTCAACAATGAATTAGTTTGTGATTAGGTCTAGTTCATGGTGAACCACTAGTGGTAGGTCAATGATATTTGGTATGCAGTTGTATTAGCATTGGCATATCTCATTACCATGGAGATTATTTGGCCCCGCCCCCTCAGTCAAGGTCTATTGACTTTGAAACTTTGCTTAGTTTTCATGTATTAGTTTGTGATTAGGTCAGTTTATGGGGAACCACTAGTGGTAGGTGAATGATATTTGGTATGCAGTTGTATTAGCATTGGCACATCTCATTACCATGGAGATTATTTGGCCCCACCCCCTCAGTCAAGGTCTATTGACTTTGAAACTTTTGCTTAGTTTTCATGTATTAGTTTGTGATTAGGTCAGTTTAAGGGGAACTGTTAGTGGTAGGTCAATGATAATTGGTATGCAGTTGTATAAGCATTAGCACATCTCATTTCCATGGAGAATATTGGGTCCTTACCCCTTAGTCATAGTCTATTGACTTTGAAACTTTTGCTTAGTTTACATGTATTAGTTTGTGATTAGGTCAGTTTAAGATGAACCACTAATGTTAAAAAAAAAATAAAATAAGTCAATGATATTCGGTATGCAAATGTATTGGCATTTGCAAGTTTTATTTCCATGGAGATTATATAACCCCACCCCCTTATTATGGTTCATTGACTTTGAAACTTTTACATAGTTTACAAGTTAATATTTGCTTTAGGTCTGTTTAAATGGAACGACTTATGAAAAGTCAATGGTATTTGGTTTGCAGTTGTATTAGCATTGGCACATCTCATTTCCATGGAGATTGTTTAGCCCTGTACCTTCAGTCATGGTTCATTGACTTTGAATATTTGCATAACTTACATGTTAAAGTATTGCTATTTTAATTTCAACATTTGCATTGTCAAAATAACAAATAGGCGAGACATATCTCTGTGTTAACAGTTTATTAACAACAGGTGTTTAAACAATATGTCAAGCTCTCCAACCTCTCAATATAAAAAAAGTTGTAAATCAATTTTTAACAGAGGCTATGAAAGATCTGCCTGGAATGTAAAAGTTTTCTCAACTTCCTGAATACCCCATTACATAATATTGTTTTAACAGGTTTGTGATAGTGTATGTTTACTTTAATATTGGTACCATATTTAAGGCCAGATAAGACCCTTTCTTTAGAAATAATTAGATGTGATATGATTGCCAATGAGACAACTCTCCACCAAATGACTTAGAACCGAACAACTATAGGTCACAGCAAGGAGTTGTATATTTAAGATTAAATGTACAATTCCTTGGTCACAGCACAGCCTTGAACAAAGAGCAAAACCCATCCCGCATAGTTCGCTATTAATGGCCCCAAAATGACAAATGTAAAACTATTTAAACAAGAAAACTTAAAGCCTGATTTATGTACAAAATAATAAACACATTTTTTCCTTTGTTGAGACTTAGTTTTTGCCCCTTGTTTTTATTGGTGAAATTTATTACATATCAGATTTCCTGTGATGAATGTAGGTTGGTCTTTGCTTGGGAGTTGGTTTGGTCTGACTTAATACAAATTCACTTTTATTTATGGTGATATACTTAGCATGCACTTACTATTTGTGAATGTAGTCCTGACTTATTCAGTAAATACTGTCATATTTCAGATTTGGTTACATGGAGTTTGTTTGTAAATAAGTCCAAGTAGTAAATTGTTTTAAGCTGGCCTCTTGTTTTTATTTTTCAGATTGACTGGGGAGCATGTGCTTTGGTGTTAGCTGGTAACCTTGTGGTATTCCTTACAATACTGGGATACTTCTTTGTATTTGGAAATGAAGATCTGGACTATTCATCCTGGTGATGACACATTGTCAGCCAGCAAGTGGGATTTTATTTTAATGCAAACAATATTTATATTTTGAATTATTGTTCTTGAAAGATTTTTCAAGAAACTAGATTGTATAGAAATAAAAGTATAGGTTTCTTGGAAAATACCGGTTTTTTTTACATTGTATTTATAATGTTTGGTTCAGTGTTTCCTAAAATTTTGAAAAGGATATGGTTTAAAACAAACAAAGCACCCTTTTTATATGCAAAATTCATCTTAAGGGCACATACCATGGATACTGTAGTTATCATATGAAATATAGCTTTGATTGTAAAAGAAATATTTATTCTTTGTATTGTGAAACTTAAATAAAAAAAATAAGCAGCTGTGCCAAAAGGCATTATTTTTAATTAGAAGGGAATGGTAGAAACATTTTTCTTGGAAATAAAAGAGGTTTGTCAATTGCCACTATTAAACCCTATAATGATCTGCTCACATGAACCACTGTGCTAATATCTACACAATTGTTTGTCAACTTCAATTTATTTTTACAGAAAATATATTAAGAACAAATGATTTTTTTAAAGATATAAACAATATATCATAAAGCACTTGTCTTAAGAAAATACCATCAAACTTTGATATGTAATATTAAGTTATGTGTTTATGTTCATTATCACTGAACTAGTATATATATTTGTTTAGGGGCCAGCTGAAGGACGCCTCCGGGTGCGGGAATTTCTCGTTGCATTGAAGACCTGTTGGTGACCTTCTGCTGTTGTCTGTTCTATGGTCGGGTTGTTGTCTCTTTGACACATTCCCCATTTCCATTCTCAATTTTATTATAGCATCCAAATTATTGCTGCCATTAGACACAAGTCTTAGGATTTATTAAACACATACCTAACGAACTACAGCAAGGCTTAAACCAACTTTTTACATTTGATTTTTTTCCCTCTAAATATCAAAATAAGGTGTTCTATTTAAATTTTCATCATACCTTATTTTCAATAGCTGATTAGCACACAGTATACTTAAAATGTTTGTTTTATTTGTGCATTACTTTTCATAATAGTGGTCAATTTTGTTGTTGTATCAGAGATAAACAATCCAGCCTCTCAGGGGTAACTTACAAATCCCATGACAGGCAGATCAAGTGCACCTTAACATTTATATTCATATAATCAAACCTAGATATATGTGCTATCCAAAGGAAGACAATTATTTGTCCTTTATGATAAGTTTATACAGGTGTTACTTAAACATGTTTGACTGATCTTAAGTTACTCCTAGTGATTTCCTATATACAGGTGCCAACAGAAGCAGGTTGGACTGTATCCCTATCTACTAATGATTTCCTTTATACAGGTGCCAACAGAAGCAGTTTGGACTGTATCCCTGTCTACTAGTGATTTTCTTTATACAGGTGCCAACAGAAGCAGGTTGGACTGTATCCCTAGCTACTCCTAGTGATTTCCTTTATACAGGTGCCAACAGAAGCAGTTTGGACTGTATCCCTAGCTACTCCTAGTGATTTCCTTTATACAGGTGCCAACAGAAGCAGTTTGGACTGTATCCCTAGCTACTCCTAGTGATTTCCTTTATACAGGGCCCACAAAAGTAGGTTTGACTGTTTTCCTAGCTACAGTGTGTGTCTTTTGTGTATTGTATTTTAAGAATGTTTTGACCCCGATAACTACTTAAGCCAATTAAAAATTAATGTAGATTTTTGTATAAAGTTATACATATATGTTATAAATCATGAACCATGTTCTCTTATCAAAACTACAATATAACAATATATTAAGAACTATCACGGAGAAAACAAAAAGACTTTATATTATGAATAATACAGTCATTATAACATTTATTTTTACAAATTATGTCTACCTGTTTCTTATTTTCTGAGATTAAATGTTCAGCTTTGTGTATAGCTAGAGTCATTGTCAACAATAACTTTTACTTGTATTGATGCATAGGTTTAATATGTATCATCTGATTTCATGTTTTGTATTATTTATTGAAATCTGTTTTGATTATTGCTAGTTGTATGGAATCATTATCACATCGTCAAATATGACCGTATATAAACTGGAGGATGATACATGATTTGTTTGTACCCTACTACATCTATCCAAAACGGAGCAAGATATTTGATTGTCAAACTTGTGTTGTTGAATATCATTTACATTTACTCATATATAACATGCATTTTCATGAACTTCTAAAACAAAATGCTCTCCAGTTTTTTCAGAATTCTCTGAAATCTAATTAGAACCTGTATAAGAAATTTAAATTTGGACCATATTAGAATTTGTTTTAGATTCTCATTCTTCATTTTACAAAGTATGTAAATTTATGGAGGATTTTATTTATTGATTTACTCTAAATTGCTAAATAAAAATAAAATAAGAAATTGTAAAAAGAATAATGAAATCATTTAATAGTTAATTCCTTGTGTATTGGTGCAATCATTGTATATATCTATTCTTCATGACTTATGTAATTTATTTGTATATATGTCATTCCTTATCATTCAGTCACAGATTTTATATTTAAACTATCTAAAGCAGGGAAAAAGGAATACAACTATAAAGAATGAGTCTTTAAGTAAACAATTTTTAAATTTGTTTGATATACATGGAAACCATGGAAAGCACTTTGAAAATAGAGAAGCCACCCTTAGAAGCAATTTGGAGACAGTCAGCATAAATAAAAAAATGTGTGTACAACATATTATTCCAAACACATCCATGGTAGCTGATTCAAGTTACCTTCCATGGGTCCCATGTATGTTTTGATGGAACAATGCTCTATCCCATAACCTAAATTTCTTCACAGTTCATGAGTATTAAGCATTTGTCTATATTTTATAGCAGTGTCCAAGGAATATAGCATTTTGTAAAGCATTTTTTTTTAATATAATTCTAATTTGCTTAATAATAAGATATTTGCCTGTAATGGGTGAAACCACCGATTTTAAAGTTTTGTTGTTGTATAACCTTTATGATTGTTTTTTGTTTAATATTTATAGTAATGTGTCAATCATTTATATAGGAGAAATTAAATTTTATGCAATTTACTTTGTTTTTCCCTTAACCACCACATTTCATGTTGCACGTCAAATCAAGTTGAAAATAGCAGTCATGGGATATTAAGGCATTTTGAAAGGGAAAAATATGACTTATTGGCATTGCAAAGGGTAATAAAAATGGATGAGCAAGTTGTAAGATTTAAAATTAACACATATGTAAACATGACAAAATGTTTACAGGCTTCTGAAAATGTGCTTATATGGCTTGACATCATTAAGATAAAATCACAATATTAAATGGTAAAAATTGGTAGATATAACAATGAAGGTGTAATGTTTTAGTGCTAGGTTGACAGCTGTACATTTTTCTTAGGTCTTCAAATATACAAGGCAATTTTCTTGAAGATATTTTCTGAATACCGGGAACCATCCAAGTACAAGCTAATACTTACAGATTTTTTATACATGACATACAGATAGCTCTCATAGATTGACAGCTTCTATGTTTTGGTTTACAGGATACATTGAATTTTGAATAATGGAGTCTTGTAGACCTTGGGAAAATAGCCTTATCAGATTAGTTAGACCATTTCATACTGATTTCTACAGTTTGTTTTGTATTTGTGCTGTTGCACCACTGTCCAAGGTTAGCAGAGGATTGAGAGCTCACAAACATGTTTATCCTCATCACATTGTATATGTGCCTATCGGCCCCTATCCCAAGACAGCAGCCTGTTATTCAGTGGTTGTTGTTTCTATCTGACATACTTAGTCGTGAATGTCAGACAAAGGGATTACAATCTGGTGGCAGCATCAACTATTTATATAAAGCTTTATACAAATAAGGTGGTCAGTGATCAAGGTTAAGTTTACATGGTCAATCCTCTATCTCAAATACTATAAGCAATAGGTAAACTATACTGACGGACCTTAAAAAGGCAACACATATTTTGGTGTGATTTTTTTTTACCAAATCATGATTAATCTTCATATAACTACTATTCATACAGACACACCCAAGAAATGACATCTCATATTAACAGCTGGCTATGATTCTTAAGCTCTGTATCAATCACAAAGAAAGTTCATTGGACAGATTCCAGTAGCATGTCCAGGAAACCAGCAATGCATTACAAGAAAAGTATCAATATTAGACCAATAATACATGCAAAATATTAGATTGTATATCCATTAATAAACAAAGACGACTTTGTGGCGAGGGGTTTGCTTAATGTTGAAGGATGAAGGGTGACCTATAGTTGTTATCATCCCATCGGCATCATTTGGATTCTGGTGAATAGTTATCTCATTGGCAATCATACCACATCTCCTTATTTTTAAAGAAGATATATTGGCATTGGAGTGTTGTCATATTGAAGTGCTATTTCCATACAGAAAGGGGTGAATTTTCCATACAGTCAACTGTATTAAGATATCAGTTGTGATAACAGTCTAACAATGAAAACATGCTGAGCTGTGAGCTATTGCTCACAAATGATAACCCTGCTATGAGTAATCAGTAAACAGGAAGTTAATGAGCAATGGATCTGAAAAGGAATAACACACTACGGCATTCTCACATGAAGCTTGATACCAGATTTCAGAAAGCCTTGATTTGTAGTTCCTGAGAAAAATGTGGCAAAATTTTCATACATAGCCCAAATGTGTAAAAATGTACTGTGAATTAATTTATTTTCTTGGGTATAAATTTAAGTGGATTGATGAAAATTTTCATTTTTGTGGTTGTGCTAAAGTTTTCATACAATCATATAGGAAATTATTACTTTTCTTGGGCATTAAAATTCAAAATTCAACTTTACACAAGAAATCCATGACAATTGGCATCCCACAAATAATATTGAATCCACAGTAAATTATTTGGTAAACAGTAAGTTGTTAAGTGAAGAATCTGGAAACAATCACATGGTTAGTAGATACTAAGAAAAATGTGTCAAAAAATTCATACATGGCCATTATGTGCAAGAATACTTCAGTATTTTGTTAACAGAAAGTTGATAAGTGATGAATGTGAAAATGCATTACACAGTAGAGAATGCTCACATGAAGCTTAATACCAAATTTCAGCAGGCTCTGATTTGTAGTTCCTGAGAAAAAAATCACTAAGATAGATGGAGAGCAAGAGGTGGACAGAAGTAAACAGGTATAACCACCATCAGAGATTGGGTTTAAAACCTTCCTTGGGATAATCCCCATTTATTACCATCTTACGTCAGTATCAAAACTTTATTATAATGTTAAAATATTACAGATTGACTAAATATTAGATGTTTATTGTTCAGCAGGAAGTATTTCAACTATAATTTAAACAAACTACACATACAAAGAGAATGGACACATACATTTCAGTTTATTATGTCTCAGATCTGATAACACTTTTTTTATTACAACCTATGCTGAAAATGCTTATGAACATCATTCAAAAACATTTATGAACAAGTCATGAAGATGAAGATGAAGATTGTTCTACAAGTTCTGCTACATTATGAAGTCTACAAGCAATGTCTTTTTGTAAAGGCCTTTGTAAGGGATGAGCTAATAACTGTGACATCTGGTCGTAAAATTTAGTGGGATTTCTAGCCGCTTCAAATATGTAAGACATTCCTTTCT